ATTGTGGCAGACGACGGCAAGAGCTTTACAAGAGATGTGTCATTCCATAATCTAAAAATAGTACAAGGGCCCAAAAAAAGGCTGTGTCATCCAAACGCACCTGGCCCAATCCACCCATTCCTGCCCCCCGACAATGGGGGAAACAGTGCACAACGACGAGGAAATATGTTTCCTCATCGTTGGCGGCTTTTCCCCGTCAAAAACGGGGGTGGGAGCACCCCAAACGATGAGGAACAGTGTCCGATGTCATGACCCGTCCCCGGCTCCCGGCACAATTATCCGGCTCCCGAGGCTGTATCCAGCTTCCGAGGCTTGTGGTAATGAGCCGTGTTCTTCCGGGATGCTTCCGAGACATCTGGGAACAAGCCGTGCGCTTCTGAGGCACTTCCGAGGTGAGCCATGTTTCCGGCTCACTCCATTGTGTCTCCCAGCCATTGTCCCATTGTCCTTCATTGTTCTCCTTGTCCCGGCTAAGTTATCTATTACATAATCATGGTCCATTATCCTACATAGCATAAATACCCATGTACAGTAGTAGATTCCTCAGTCGGAATATCGAACTCGACATACCCCCTTTGCTCTAGTTCACTGCCGGAATCCGGCTCCTCCCTGCTCATCCGAAATTGGGGACACCCAGACATTGTGTGGTGGTGCAGCTGCCCTTTCCATCAAGCTGAAGCCAAGTCCCCACCCCATCCGGCACGGTCGTTACATCCGAGCACTGTTTCCTGTGTTGTTTGCATGTATTGACATGCCCCGCCCACAGCCGCGAGCCCCGGCACACACACAGCAAGGCCCTCTCCGTAGGTGGACTGTAAAATCACAGTCCTGACATATAAGCATACCTTGTTAAAATACAGTGTCTGATATATTTTTGTGGCTTATAGAAGTGGGTGCTCAATGGCTGTGTGTTGATTGTCAGAGTAGATGTTCATCAAGTTAAGGACCTCACCCCCGCTGAAGAGGGAGAGGACGAGGATGTCGCGATGGTTGACAATGTCGTGATGCATAGCGGGACGATAGCGGGAAAGCCTAGTGGAGACATAGGCGATCACGTGGGGAACTTCCCCTTCCTTAATGTGCACCATCTGCAGCCAATCAGGATGCTTTGGTGCGCCGATAACCTCATCACCCTCCATACTAGTGGTGGACAGTGCATGTCTTATGAAATTCCAAGGCGTTTCTTGGAAGAATAAAATATCAAATCTCTTTTTACAAATTTCGAGGAGGGTGTCTACATGTGCATAGGTATGACAGACATTCTGACAGTAAATACAAAGCCCACTACTTAGATCCTGAGGGTTTCCCAACATTGGTCTAGGTTCGAGGGTTAGTAAGTTGGTGGTGAGCGGCATGCTCATGTACCTGATGATACTCGGCCATGATCCACTCACGGTCATAGCGATGGGCCCAGAACTTGCACAAAGCCAAGTTGGCGGTGTGGTCCTTGTGGCAATTGACACAGTGGCCCTTGTGGGGGCAAGGCTGGTCGCGAGGGGTGGGCGGCACAGGAGGCTTTGCTTTCGTGTTCCCCTTGCAACATCCCACATGTTGACGGTGCTCCTTCTGCTCGTGCAGACCCAAACAGATAGGGCAAGAGAGTTGTTTCGCCTTGCAGGCGACAGTAGGGTGACCCCACTTCCAGCATCGCTGGCAGAGCAGGACCCCGGTGTGTCGCGTGGCTGGCCTGATTGCACAGGACCACCCGGCGAGGAAGATCGGTTGGCCTAAGGCCTTCTTGGTGTGGGTTCCCTGCTGGGAGTCCCAGATGTTGCAATACACGGTGCACGATGTCAAGTGCACCGAGTTGCGGTCGATCCGAGGCTTGGTGCTCAGATACACGAAGACCTCAGCATGAACCGAGGTGCGGAGGGCCTTCTCAAGCGCCTCCTGGGTGATCTTCAACCCTTTCAGATCGAAGTAGGGCACATTGAGGATCTTTATAAAAGATGTCGATGATGGAAGCGCAACCTCGAATGGGGTACCCGTTGGGAGGCTTTCGCGGATGAAGTTGCGCAGTATGTCCAGGTCAGATGGGCTGGCAACAGCGGGGGTGACCAATGACAAGCCATCATAGGCACAGACAATGGAGGTGACCTTCAACATAGATTGACCATCCCTGAGGTACCTGTTGGCTGCACGGACAGCTGATTCAGTGAAGAATTTCGTGAGGTCAGGAGGGGTACCCCCAAACAACATGAGAACTTGCTTCCAGGTGGGGCCCTTGGAAGTGAAGGAAGGAACGGACCGATGAGGCAAAGTCTTCATCGGGCCTGTCAGGAATGCGGGGGGAGGAGAAGGCCCATGACATTGCGGTCCCAAGCCAGGAGGCGGGGGAGGCATTGGAGCAGCCTGATGAGCAATCCCTGCCCACATCGTTGGATGGGGCTTGGGTTTGGTAGCGCGGTTGATCGGCAGAGGCGGACCAGGGCGAGAGTAGGCCACCTTGCTCTTCTTCTTCTGAGGAGGTGGGACTGGGCAATCAACACCCTTGCGCTTCTTGGAGGCGGGGATGCGAGGCAGGGAGGCCAGGCGACCAAGGTCATCCACTGCCTGCATGAGGACATCGGGCGGAGCCCCTACGTCAAGGACACCCTCATCGAGCAGCCCATGGGCAGCAGGAGGAGGAGGCCTGAATATGGGAGCCGGGTGGATGGTCGGCTCATCCTTGGAAGACGTCTCAGCCTCGAGGAGAGAGGCGAGCGAGAAGTTGTCAAGTTCACCTGGTCCGCGAATACGACTAAAGTTGGTGGCCATGACAGCGTTCACAAAGGACGTCATCTGGGCCATGAAGGCATCACCCCCATCGATGGAAAGCGGATCGTGGTGCGTGGCCTGCAGAACCCAATCTGTGGCCTTCGCAATGGAGGTGGTCAATACCTCAAGATCATCAGGAAGGTCCTCGATGGTATCTTGGAACTTCAAGGTGTATTGACCTAGAAGAAGGTCAACAGAGGGGTCCCTCGAGACCCCTTCGCCTTCCTGAGTGCCCTCAACCTCCATCTCCTGGGGGTGGGCCGTCCCTGAGCTAGACTCATCTGCAGACAAATGGGCGGAACCCATGGTGGAACGGGACCTGCAGCAGGGCAATGTGTGGCGGGATCGAGACAGCACAACGGTCGAGTATGTGGCCCTAGTCAAGGTAGGGTCTGGTGAGATTGGCGAGGCACCACCGCCCAGGGGTGATGTGCCAGCGACCGATGGTGGTATGGCTGGTGGTGCAGCCCCCCCACGACGGCTCCTAGGAACCGCCCCAGGGGGCCTTGCGCCCTGACCTCTCAGAGGGAGATCGGACATGGTTTGCAAAGGTGGTACAAACATTCAAAAGGGTTCTTTTGGCTTGTCGATAAAGTGCTAGACAATATGCGAGATGGTGAGCTGGTTGTTTGTGCTTGTTGACAAGTGGGCATTCGAGAGAAAGAGGCGTTTGGCAAGGTTGACTATATGTGTCCAGTGACTATACAAAATCTCAGTACTTTGTGGTCCCCCACAGAGTGCTATAGGACTCCACTGGACTCCAGTGGAGTTGGCATATTATCCAGTGGAGTCCAGTGGAGTCCAGTGGAATTCTACTGGAGTTCAGTGGATTTCAGTAGACTCCAGTAAGAAGATATAGTGGAGTTCAGTGGAGTCCAGTGGAGTCCAGTAAGAAAGTATACTGGACTCTACTGGAGTGTGATACTGGAGTCTTACTGGAGTCTTACTGGACTCCACTGGACTCCAGTATATGTATCAAAATGGACTACTACTCAGTACCTATTACACATCAGAATAGATAATAGTCTGTTGAGCAATTGCCTAAGTCCAGCATATAGAGTATGTAATAAGATGCTTAATAATCATTCTTTTTAGGAAAAAGCATCAGAATTTGTAGAGCACCTTTGGTTGACCCTGAATCAAGTTATTTGATGTCATCAGCTGCTCTGCTTGGCAAGAAAAAAGCAAAATACTGAAAAAGTAGATTACTTTTGCAAATTTTAGCATTATTTGGCTTATATCTTGTTATCAATAGAGCCAAATACCATCACTCAAGGGGATTCAGAATCATTGTTTATTGCAATTATTTTCTCCTAAAAAGAATTTTTCTCATAGTCATGTGACCTGCATATTTCATATTGTTAGCACCCCTAGTCCCTGTGTAGATAGAGCACATTTTGGCAAGATCTAATTTGTCACATGTGACTCTAATATTGATGTTATCAGCAAAATTGACAGCTTTATTACTTTTTATCAATGCCAAGTCTAGGTCTAGCAATCATATATTTATTAATTGTTTCTATTTGAGGCTATAACATTGAAGTTTCAGAAGCTGATCCTGAAGGAATAGGCAAATAAAAAGTCACATGACTGGCCATCAACCTTAGCATCAGTCACATTTCTCTTCTATGACTATGACATCTCTCTGCATTGTTCACTGGACTCCAGTGGAAGATAGACACTCCACTCCAGTAGACTCCAGTGAACTCCAGTAGACTTTGGGTGGTGACTCTAGTGGACTCCAGTGAACTCCACTGGAGTCCAGTAGGCACTTTTGGCTGGTGTTCCTGCTAATATATGTCTACCAGACTCCACTGGAGTCCACTGGAGTCCTATAGAGATACGTGGGGGAGTGTAAAGACCTCCAAAATCTTCATGACTATGGAATGGTGTTTATTCCTTTCACTCAATGCTCTCATTGGCTTGAAGCACATGAAGACAGTTTGGTATGGAAGAATCCCATCAAGTGTGGAGGAAATGAAATGGTTAAAGATATTGGCTATACGGTATCTGCAATGGGAGAATATTGTGAGAATCTCATCAATGATTTGGTGCTGGTCTTGCTAATGATTTAATATTTAGGGCATTCACTTTAGAGAAAGGAAAATTATTTCATAGAAGGAATAGCAACATGAGATATTGATCTTTATCAATTGGAGCAATATAGTTCTTCTTTACACCATCAAGCTACTTTTCAGAACAAAAAAAGTCTACATGTGGAACGGTCAGAACTTGATAAAAACTCACCACTACATAAGTCCTCCAACTTCAAAATTGTGCCGATTTTCTTCAGTCATTATCTTCAAACTCTGAGGATTCCTCAAGCTCATATGTGCTGCTAGAAGACAAATCAGCAGGGCACTTTGAACATGCACAACAAATATACAGACGGAAAAATCTCATCAACAATGAACCGTCCATCTTGCTTAAGTTGTGATGTGAAGTAGTTCTGGACATCAGGAATATGGCTGCTATAGAAAGAAATATGGTGGAGGTATGGGCATATTGAAAAGAGGAAATGAAAGAAGTCGATGCAATAGTGGATGGATTTGATATGTCCAAAGAGCCCAAATTCTTTCAACATCAAAGAAGAAGAACTGAATAAAGTTTTGGGCTTTCGAGAAGGTTGAAATGGAAACTGGAGGGTTTGAAGATGAGGACAATGAGTTATAAAACTATAAAAGGATGTTGTAGTTGTGGTGGGACGCTGTGTAGCCAAAGGGGTAAAATGAGATCCAAGGGTAAAAGATGTAAGAGATGGCCAAGAAGAAGAAAGAGATGTGAACACAGAATTGGATAACCTGGTCAAGTTCATTAAAGCATTAAAGCAAAATGTCTCCATAGAAGAAAATACAGCAAGACAATGAAGAGAGGAATCTTCAAGAAAATTATTAATTTCAAAATCATTCCAGTCAAAACCGGCTTCCATGTCCCAAGTAACATCAAAGCTAATTTTCTTCAATGGAGCCAGTGGCATATTTGTAGCCATGGACTCAAACAGGTTCTCAATGGATTCATTGTTGGAATTCAAATCCTCTTGTATGAAATAGATTGTTGATAGCTTTGGTGCAGAGAAGGAGGGAAAAAAGGCAAGCTGGCAGATATCCTGATAGGTATAATGCATTTCCTGCAAGGATTGAAAGGTGTGTATAATGCCAGTAAATTCATATTGAATGCCTGAATCTAAAATGCCCGTATCATTGTAGATAACATGAAGCACCTGAAGACTTGATATTGTTGATAAAGTCTTGCACAGATTGGAAGGATTGGTGGTGCAGTGCAAAGTGAGGTAGAGCTCATGAAGAGAGCTCCAACAAGCACATGAAGAAAACAAGAGATCAAAGTATATGGAGGCATAATTGAAGGGGTTGAATTCATAGTCGCTATCAATTTCAAGAAGGGCTAGGCAATGGTGGTTGAAGAGGAGGTTCCCAACATGAGCATAGAGGGCTGATGACGCTACAGTCATTGCCTCTTTCTCTCGAACACCCACTTGTCAACAAGCACAAACAACCAGCTCATCGTCTTGCACATCGTCTAGCGCTTTATCGACAGGCCAGAAGACTCCTTTTGAACATTCGCACTGCAATAGCACACCATGTCCGACCTCCCACTGAGAGGTCAGGGCGTGAGACCCCCTGGGGCGACTCCTAGGAGCCATCGTAAGAGGACTCAGGCTCCGCCCCACCAGCCATACCACCATCGGTTGCTGGCTCATCGTCCTTGGGTGGTGATGCCTCGCCAATCTCGCCAGACCCTACCTCAACTAGGGCCACATACTCGACAGTTGTCCCAGCTCGATCCCACCACACATCACCCTGCTGCAGGTCCTGCTCCACCACAGGTTCCGCCCATTCATCGGAATACGAGTCTGACTCGGGGATGGCCCAACCGCACCAGGAGATGGAGGTGGAGGGCACTCAGGAAGGCGAAGGGGTCTCGAGGGACCCCTCCGTCAACCTTCTTCTAGGTCAATATGCCTTGAAGTTCTGAGATACCATCGAGGACCTTCCTGGCGATCTTGAGGTATTGACCACCTAAGTGCGTCACCGAGCTCAAAGTCAGGGTTGGATGTCGTAAGACGGACAACTCTATAGACACGCTACGCTCTCGAGCGGCGCACTCAGTCCTGGATTTGTGGAGCTCCACTTTCCAGGATCCAACTTACCGAGGCTCTGAGTTCTTAGAGCTTCAACAGCCTGACGGGCGGCCGCTACAGCCATCGTACCTCAATGGGGGACCTTGGCTTTCAACTTTCAGACACAGTATCACTGAGTTCGCTCGCGTTTGCCGGTGTATAACTGGCCACGCGCCCATTGGAGTGTACTACCGACGCTTCAAGATCAATGAGCCTCATGGCTGCACTTGCGGGGCTGCTTTGCAGTCCCGTCAGCATATTCTCTTTCGCTGTCGCGATCGCTACTCCGTGCACTACCCCCGATTCCTTGGGGACATTGCAGCTTTTATGAAGTACAACCCCACGGCATTTGGCTTCAACCGAGACCCCTCAGGTGTTGGATAATCGTTGTGGGCAGGGTTGTTCCTCCTTTTGGGGGATTTATGGTGAATTGACACCACCGAGCCCTAGGGTTCGAAGACCTGCGCCTACCGCTATTTCTTTGCGCTTGCGGCCGCTATAATAGCGGATTGCGGCGCCACTAATTCTCTGCGTCTGGTTTCGGGCAGGCGCCTCTCTGGCTGGTCGGCCTTAAGACACCCTGCCACCTCCCGGGTGGTGCTGTTCTTATTTCATTTGCGCTGCGTGGCCTCCGAACAGCGTTCGACGACTTTGGGGTTTAGCGGGGCCTTGATGGTCTCTTCCCCTTATCCCGCGTCACCGTTTTTGCGAGGTGGGTCTGGCTTTGTGGGAGTTTCGGCGTTTGAGCCACAAGGCTCGTGGTTGGGGGGGCAGACGTCCTTTAGTGGTTAACTTAGTAACCAGGCTGTGTAGCGTACGTGTTTGTAGATAGCGAGCGGGCTGCCATCGAGCACTGCTATATAAATTGTTGATCAAAAAAAAAAAAAAAAAAAAAAGTATTGACCACCTCCATTGCGAAGGCCACAGACTGGGTTCTGCGGGCCACGCACCATGATCCGCTCTCCATCGATGGGGGTGATGCCTTCATGGCCCAGATGACGTCCTTCATGAACGCCATCTTGGCCACCAACTTTAGTCGTATTTGCGGACCAGGTGATCTTGCAGATGTCTCTCTCGCCTCCATGCTTGAGGCTGAGACGTCCTCTAGGGAAGATCCGACTATCCACCTGACTCCTGTCTTTTGTCCTCCCCCAGTCATCAATGAGGGTGTTGAGGGTGACGTTCCCATGCAGGCAGTGGATGACCTTGGTCGCCTGGCCTCCCTGCCTCGCATCCCCGCCTCCAAGAAGCGCAAGGGTGTTGATTGCCCAGTCCCACCTCCCCAGAAGAAGAAGAGCAAGGTGGCCTACTCTCGCCCTGGTCCGCCTCCGCCGATCAACCGCGCTACCAAACCCAAGCCCCATCCAACGATGTGGGCAGGGATTGCTCATCAGGCTGCTCCAATGCCTCCCCCGCCTCCTGGCTTGGGACCGCAATGTCATGGGCCTTCTCCTCCCCCCGCATTCCTGACAGGCCCGATGAAGACTTTGCCTCATCGGTCCGTTCCTTCCTTCACTTCCAAGGGCCCCACCTGGAAGCAAGTTCTCATGTTGTTTGGGGGTACCCCTCCTGACCTCACGAAATTCTTCACTGAATCAGCTGTCCGTGCAGCCAACAGGTACCTCAGGGATGGTCAATCTATGTTGAAGGTCACCTCCATTGTCCGTGCCTATGATGGCTTGTCATTGGTCACCCCTGCTGTTGCCAGCCCATCTGACCTGGACATACTGCGCAACTTCATCCGCGAAAGCCTCCCAACGGGTACCCCATTCGAGGTTGCGCTTCCATCATCGACATCTTTTATAAAGATCCTCAATGTGCCCTACTTCGATCTGAAAGGGTTGAAGATCACCCAGGAGGCGCTTGAGAAGGCCCTCCGCACCTCGGTTCATGCTGAGGTCTTCGTGTATCTGAGCACCAAGCCTCGGATCGACCGCAACTCGGTGCACTTGACATCGTGCACCGTGTATTGCAACATCTGGGACTCCCAGCAGGGAACCCACACCAAGAAGGCCTTAGGCCAACCGATCTTCCTCGCCGGGTGGTCCTGTGCAATCAGGCCAGCCACGCGACACACCGGGGTCCTGCTCTGCCAGCGATGCTGGAAGTGGGGTCACCCTACTGTCGCCTGCAAGGCGAAACAACTCTCTTGCCCTATCTGTTTGGGTCTGCACGAGCAGAAGGAGCACCGTCAACATGTGGGATGTTGCAAGGGGAACACGAAAGCAAAGCCTCCTGTGCCGCCCACCCCTCGCGACCAGCCTTGCCTACTCACAACCACACCGCCAACTTGGCTTTGTGCAAGTTCTGGGCCCATCGCTATGACCGTGAGTGGATCATGGCCGAGTATCATCAGGTACATGAGCATGCCGCTCACCACCAACTTACTAACCCTCGAACCTAGACCAATGTTGGGAAACCCTCAGGATCTAAGTAGTGGGCTTTGTATTTACTGTCAGAATGTCTGTCATACCTATGCACATGTAGACACCCTCCTCGAAATTTGTAAAAAGAGATTTGATATTTTATTCTTCCA